AATTTTGGGCCGTGCGGAGGCGCGGTGGAGGGGCGTGGTTATTAAAATGAAGCAAAATGACGCAACTTTTCCGCGCGGAGCTGTGCGGACCTCGCGGACGCGTCAAGCATAAACCAACCTTAACGGGGCTGCATGGAGCGCTACGGCATGCATCCAACACTACACCATAGTAGAAGTAGAAATTACTTTTGTTTACAACATGGCATTCCAGCATTTTTTTAACAGCGTCCTCGTCTTTTCCGGCAGTGCGAGCTATTTTTCTCCAAGAATTATTAACAACATGTTGATCACGGTGGTCTTTGAGAGCTGAATCATACAAATGTCTGTATTTACAAACCTCTGCCATACTAGTTCTTGCCAATCCGCCATGTTTTTCCGCGTCCGACCGTCCACGTGGTTAAGGTTGGTTTATGCTTGACGCGTCCGCGAGGTCCGCACGGCTCTGCGCGGCGAAATTGCGTCATTTTAACAACCACGCCCCTCCACCGCGCCTCCGCACGGCCCAAAATTTCCGCAACGCACACCTAGGAAAATTTCTAACCACGCGGACAGTCGGACGCGGAAAAACATGGCGGACCGGCAAGATCTAGTATGGCAGAGGTTCGTAAATACAGACATTTGTATGATTCAGCTCTCAAAGATCACCGTGATCAACATGTTTTTAATAATTCTTGGAGAGAAATAGCTCGCACTGTCGGAAAAGATGAGGACGCTGTTAAAAAATGCTGGAATGCCATGTTGTAAACAGTAATTTCTACTTCTACTATGGTGTAGTGTTGGATGCATGCTGTAGAGCTCCATGCTGCACCGTTAAGTTTGGGAGAATATTGGCTCACCGCAAAGACAAGCCACATGAACCATAAAAGCTGCGAGTTGTGAAGCGCGTTCCAGCCGCGAGCTGCATCACCAAGTGGAAAGTGAATGCGTCAAGCATAAACCAAGCTTTAGAAAATTTCCTAGGTGCGCGGTGCGGAAAGTTTGGGCCGTGCGGAGGCGCGGTGGAGGGGCGTGGTTGTTAAATTGACGCAATTTTGCCACGCTGAGCCGTGCGAACCTCGCGGACGCGTCAAGCATAAACCAAGCTATGCCTCCCAACTTCACCATTCTGCGAAACACAGCTACAGAGGAAACCCGGTGTTAAAACTGTGATCTCTCATAGACTTTGTTACTAGTTACTGTGATCTCCATTCTTGGGTTTTTGGTTTGTTGTTAGTGCCCCAGAGTTTTGATATAGATAAAAGCTATAGATAAATTGTGTCTTTTTGCCTCCAGTTATTGTTAATCTCCTAATCCTCAGTTTAGCTTGGCTCTTTGTTTTAGTTTTGGAGGATTTTCAGTTAAGGAGATTACTAGTTTCCTGTTTTGGAAATTGTGGGTCGTTTTGGTTGTGGTAATGGTTTAGCATTATCCTTTTGTTTCTTTAGTGGTTGGTTTAGTTTATATTGTCGAGTTTCCCCTTTTTGGTCTCCTCTCTCTGGTCAACACCAGAGAGAGAGCGCTTTAAGTTTGTTGTCAGTTTGCTACTCTGTTTTAGCAGAGGGAGTTTATTTTAGTTTACTTATTACTTACACTTAACCCAACTTTTTATAAATAAACCTTTTTAAACAACCATTCTGTTAACCTCCTTCCATTCACTTGAATACATTACAAACCGACACCATCCATCGGTAATTCATTCCCTTTTTCTTTTACATTATTTTATTTTTCTCTGTGTTCTCCCATCACCACTCCTAGACGCCAGAGGGGACGTAACACTTCGTATTATGAATATTGCATATTTATTTAACCCATGCATATTTATTAAAGTAAACATCTCCTTCTCTCCACGGTCCTTGGACTGGCACTATAGGTAACCATAACAACCATATCACTGGCCATTTTTAGAAGATGCACCATGCTGGCAAATCAGCATAATACTGCCGCCACAGTGTCTCATGAACGCGCTGTGGAGGCATGGCGATGGGGGAATTTTGCAGCATTTGTGTCCGCACACTTGGTAGTATTACTGCCACAATGCCATACTTGTGACTGCAGCTTATGCCATGGTGCAACAGAGGGAGGTGTCATGAAGGGCGGCAACAAACAATTATTTTGATCATCGATTAATCAGATGGGGTCTTGACTCGATTAATCGGTTAATCGGATTAAATGGGAAAAATAAAAACATTTCTAGGAAAACATTTCTTTCTTCTTCCTTTACTTTACAACAGCAACAGAACATGACTGTGCTCTGTTAGCAGAGTTGTTGAATGTTAAATAAAGTTATTTAAATAAAAAATTAGAAACATCCTGGGTCTGTTTCTTTGCTTTTTTATTGAAGTATCAGATCGATACTCTGTATCAGCAGATTCTCAAAATCAAATGATTTGGACTCCAGTGCAACAAGATCAGGAAAAAAATATACATTTTTAATTTTTCCAATATAAACATTGCTAGGGAAACATTTTTCTCTCCTTCCTTTATTTTAACAACAGAACATGATTAGAAAACTGTTCAATAGCGTGCAAAGCAACATGCTATCACCTAAATTAAAAGTATTTCATTAGCATGTTCAGTAGCAAGCTACTGGAAATGCTAATAGCATTTAATTTCTACTGCTTTAAATGTAATGGTGGTATATCTATTGTATGCACAGGTTAAAAATAATCTAATTTAAATTATGTTCACAGATAGAAAACTTGCCGTATTCCTTCAGCGGAGTTGGGCAGAACAGACTCATAGCTGCAACCTGACTGCAGCGGCACCGGTTCTGTTCCATAGCGCTGCTGACAGCTACTTAACAGGATGATGAAGGGGACGTTTCTTAAGCTTGTAGAGTTTAGATATTCTTAGTTTCACAACCATCTTGTTTGTTTGGAACCCACTTCATCGTGAGCCTGCTACCTGCCAGCTTTAAATAATCTGCTTGTAGTTACACTTTTGATACTGAACTCTGGACTGTTCCTGCCTCTGAGCCTTTGCTAGTCTATCTGTTTTCCTCCACAGCACCTAGATTAGCACATTGTGTGTCAGTGAAAGGCATCTTCCTTACACAATAATTGCACGTGCGACATATATGTGTCACACGTTCTGATCTGCCTCGGTCTGCTCTGCGGCCGCATCAGATGAGCTGTGTGCATTGACTGTTACATAAAGGTTGCACAACATGAAAAAAGTTGCGCAACGAATCGATGACAAAAAGCATTGTGAATGAATTTCTTCATCGAATTTTATCGATTCATTGTTGCAGCCCTAGTATTATGATCATGTCATGATCATCTGGGGAGTTACTGCCAAGCTCCAGTAGGAGTGGCAGCTCAGATCACCTGACCATTCACGGGGACTGTGGAGGATAGGCACCTTTAGGAGCAGCTTGTGAGAAAACTTGATGAGCCCCTGTTAAAAAGGAGTTTTCCTTTCCAGTCGCTACATGCTTGCTTAGCATGGGTTTCTTATATAAGAAAATTTGTACTATCTACCAGAGTGAACAGACCGTATTGGAATGTTTTACATTGTGAAGTTCTCTGAGACAACTCCTGTCTGATTTGGCGCTATATAAATAAACTGAATTGAACAAAATTCAGCCGACGGAAAGTAAAACTCTTTGGCCTTCCCTGCAGGAATTGTGCTTTAAGGTAAATGTTATATTTTATATTCATTTTTGTATTTCCTAAAGGAATTTTATAAGATCTGTTTGAAATTACCATGCCTCTAAACGAAACACACCATAAAATTAAAATCTGAACAGCATGACATTTGAACCCTGATAATATCTTTAAAAATTGATGAAACTGTTACAATTGAAGTAGGGATGGACAATATATCGGCATCAATATCAGTATTGGCTGATGTTAGTCCTTTTTTAATATATCGGTATCGGTCTGATTTTAAAAAATGGGCCTATATTATCAACCGATATTTTTTTCCATCTTGTCTCCATTTGTTTGCCTGTTTCAGAGGGCAAGGGGGGTGATGTGTATTTGTTTAGTCATGTCACAGTGATTGTAATCATCTCAGAAGCGTAAATGTGTGTGATGTGTGTACATAATAACATAAATTCAGCATTCATCATTTTTATTCTATACAAAATCTGTTGATTTTAGAAGCATTAATGTCAGTATAAGTATCGGCAAATATTGGTTATCGGCCATAACAGTGATCTTATTATTGGATATCGGTATCGGCCCCGCGACCCTACATGGACAAGTGGGTTCAGAAAATGGATGGATGGATGGATGGATGGCATCGGTGTCTGCCCAAAGTTCCCCATTGGTGTATCACTAATTTGAAGCTACTGAGATGAAATAATTTTGAGCAAACTGACATTAGAGGTGTTCAGCCTCTGCAGAATTACCCAAAAGTGAGCAAAACGTAAAGACCCAACAGACCCTGTCTGCCAGCTGTGATGGTGCAGTTACTCTGGGTGCTAAAGAGAAGTGTGCGCAGCTTTCCTAACTTTTGGAGTTACTGTAAACTTTTTCAGAGCAGAAGCTATTATGGTGACACGGAGGAAGAGGTAGTATTTACTACAGCGGGATTATTTAGCTGGATCCCAGTCAGACTGTGGCAACGTGTTAACAACACTGCTCGGTCTCTGTGCCTCGCGTAATTACGCCTCCCGCGGAGGGCAGTTCGAGGCGCTAAACGAAACATTAGCGCCTCATTTAAAACATAAAAGCGGCATTTCAGGCAGACAGACAACTCCCTGGGTTGTCTTATCAGGCGCAAATGAAGCAATTTACCAATTTCTCCCTCTCTCTCTCTCTCTCTCTCTCCCTCGCTGACAGAAACATCTGGATCCTGATGTGAATTCTGCTCTGGATGCTGCGGGAAGTCATATTTTAGTTTCAGTGTTTGCTTTTTAAAATAAAGTCCCTTTTACATTGTGTGTGAGTGCGCGCGCGCGCGTGTGTGACCCTTTAAGTAAACAGTGAACGATTGAGGAGGAAGCACCGCCCCTACTGCTCTGTGATTGGAGGAGCTGCGCAGTGGGCGTGTCCACCCACCCCTGATATAAATGTTAACCGCGTTGTAGCTCAGCCGATGATTTGTATGGGAACCAGAACTGAGGAGGATCTGGATGTAGCCGCCGTGTTGCAGGAATAAAGGAGGCCGTCTCGTCTGTGTTTTGGATCAGTCGGACAGCTGCGCCTGCTCGGTTCTGTGGGGAGCTGAATTCTCCTCTCAGCCATCTTGAACCGCCTAGAAGGCTGCTCCCTCTCCTCCTCCTGCTCCTCCTCAGCTCAGAGGAAAGACGGCTTGCGCGTTGCTTGCAACTCCGGCGTGCAAGACCCCGAGGCGGCGCGATGGGTTCGGTGCGCAGCCTCTAACCGGACAGGAGGTTTTCTGCGTGTTCGCACCAGAGCGGCAGAGAGGGGGGGACTCTACACGCCGCAGAGATGGACCTGTTCGGGATTTACCTGCTTCTCTCCGTCGCCCTCCTCCCTCGATCCAGCGGCACCACGGCCAAGGAGATCACCTGCCAGGAAATAGCCGTGCCCCTGTGCAAGGGAATCGGCTACAACTACACCTACATGCCCAACCAGTTCAACCACGACACGCAGGACGAGGCTGGGCTGGAGGTGCATCAGTTCTGGCCTCTGGTGGAGATCCAGTGTTCACCGGACCTGAAGTTCTTCCTCTGCAGCATGTACACCCCGATCTGTTTGGAGGACTATAAGAAACCTCTGCCTCCGTGCCGGAGCGTGTGTGAGCGAGCCCGGGCTGGCTGTGCGCCCCTCATGAGGCAGTACGGGTTCCCCTGGCCGGACCGGATGAGGTGCGACCTGCTGCCGCTGCAGGGGAACCCGGACACTTTGTGCATGGACTACAACAGAACAGACTCCACCACTGCGTCCCCCGTGCTGTCCAAACCCACCAACCACCCGGGGAAGGGTTACAACCCTGTTAAAAATAAACCAGGCCAACCCGGTGCGCCTGGGAAATACAAGCCGCCCTCCGCGCCATGTGAGCCGGGCTGCAAGTGTCTGGAGCCTATGGTGCCAGTGAGCAAGGACAGACACCCGCTTTACAACCGGGTCAAAACGGGACAGATCACCAACTGCGCCATGCCGTGCCACAATCCCTATTTTACGCACGACGAGAGCGCGTTCACGGCGTTCTGGATCGGACTTTGGTCCGTGCTCTGCTTCGTGTCAACTTTCGCCACCGTGGCCACCTTCCTGATCGACATGGAGCGCTTCAAGTATCCGGAGAGACCCATCATCTTCCTGTCAGCCTGCTACATGTTCGTGTCGGTGGGCTACATCGTCAGACTGATCGCAGGACACGAAAAGGTCGCGTGCAACCGGGAGTTTGACATGGAGCACATCCACTACGAGACCACCGGTCCCGCTCTCTGCACCGTGGTTTTCCTCCTCATCTACTTCTTCGGCATGGCCAGCTCCATCTGGTGGGTCATTCTGTCCCTCACCTGGTTCCTGGCCGCCGGGATGAAGTGGGGCAACGAGGCGATCGCCAGCTACTCCCAGTACTTCCACCTGGCCGCCTGGCTCATCCCCAGCATGAAGTCCATCGCGGTGCTGGCGCTCAGCTCAGTGGACGGAGACTCGGTGGCCGGGATCTGCTACGTTGGGAACCAGAACCTGGACAACCTGCGCGGCTTCGTTCTGGCCCCCCTGGTGATCTATCTGTTCATCGGTACCATGTTCCTCCTGGCCGGGTTCGTGTCTCTGTTCCGGATCCGCAGCGTGATTAAACAAGGCGGCACCAAAACGGACAAGCTGGAGAAGCTGATGATCCGGATCGGGATTTTCACCGTGCTGTACACGGTACCGGCCACCATCATCGTGGCTTGCTACTTTTACGAGCAGCACAACAGACAGAGCTGGGAGATCACGCACAACTGCTCCAACTGTTTACTGGAGCGGGACCGCAGGAGTCCGGACTACGCGGTGTTTATGCTCAAGTACTTCATGTGCCTTCTAGTGGGCATCACGTCCGGGGTGTGGATCTGGTCCGGGAAGACCGTGGACTCCTGGAGGACTTTCTGCACCAGGTGCTGCTGGGGGAGCAAGGGCACCGGCGGGTCCATGTACAGTGACGTCAGCACCGGGTTGACGTGGAGGTCCGGTACGGCCAGCTCCGTGTCCTGCCCCAAGCAGATGCCCTTGTCCCAGGTCTGAGAGGGACTGGGAGATAAACAGTGTCACACACACACACACACACACACACACACACACACACACACACACACACACACACACACACACACACACACACACACACACACACACACACACACACACACACACACACCTGAATCCCTCTTGCTTGTTTCTATTAGAGGTAAAAATGGGCAATAAATCCAGTTAGTTTTGTCTCCAGCCTCATTCTGATGATCATTTGGGATTATTGTTGCATTTTCTCCTATAATCTGGCGTTAATGACAGTGTGTAATCCAATCACAGCAAAGGTGAGCCGGATTAAGCCTTAAAAGTGCCCTGGTATCTTTCTTACGGGTTCTTCTTTTGTAATTGCAAATGTATTTATAAAAAAAATGTACAAATGTGTAAATTTGTGTATAAAAGAAAACTTTATGAGAGATTGTAAATTTGTACAAAGTGTAGATGACTCCTCTTTTGTGAGAAAACAAATCTGAGCTTTATTTTGACAATAAAACATTAGATAAGTCCTGCTTGTGTAACTTCTCTCCTGGTTCTCCGTTGCCCTGCTGCTGTGGAGGGTCCCGGCCCCTTTAACCATCAGAGACCGATAATTAGAGGCAGGGGTTGAGTCGGAGCATCTCCATAATTGTTAAAGTCCTCTTCACATGCTTGCTGAAGCCTGCTTTCTTAATTTAGTAAAAGGGGGTGTGTGTGAGTGTGTGTGTGTGTGTGTGGGGGGGGGGGGGGGGGGGTTAAATGCAGGGAGGACTCTTTTCATCTGCTAAAACTTTGATCTTTCTTTTTTTAACAACCTAGAATAAAGGTAGTGTGCATAGAAGTGTCTGTGTGATGTGACCAAGGCTCCCTCTAAACGTCCCCATTTGGACGCTTTGATGGATGTCCCACAATGAAGAGAGCATTTTGAAGCCTCTTTAGGAGGAGGGGGTCCTGCTTCTGCTTGTTTTTGTCTTCTGGGGTCTGAATTGAAACATCACCCTGGACTCAGGCGGTGTCAGGGAGTGTAGAGGCCTTGACATGAATGATACTGAAGCAGCTCTGAAAGCCCCACAGGTGGTCTGTTCACAAGATCTGTCTTCTTTCTTTTTTCTTTTTTTTTTTTTTTTGCCACAAATGTATCTGGTTTGGTCCCAATTAACCCGATGTTCTGGCATGAGATGATACAGTAACCCGGAGTAGAAATGCCTTTGATTTGCTGCTCAGTCTGGTGACAGTAGGCTTTGTGCTCAGGCTAGGTGAAACTTAAACTCTACTCTGCTGCAGACATGCATCTGCTGGCTGCAGCCTGAGCTCCTCCTTACACATCTCAGCTCTGATGCTGCTTTGAAGATGTTATTTTAATCATTTTCAAGGATTTATATAGTTTAAAGTTAGTGGAAACTTTTCACAAAGACCCGTGGTTCAGATTTGGACATTTCTGCTGTTTAATGTTGTCTTGAGATTTTTTTTTCTGATGTTGACTAAAAAAAAAATTCTCTGCAAGAAATATCTAGCAGGTGTTTATCTCCCTCTAGTGGTGAGGAAAGCACTGCACAGTCAGCTGGTCTAAGGTCTGAGAAGAAATATTTTAATTTTAGCAATAAGAACATTTTTCATTGGTCATTGAGACCATAGTACACAGATCTGCTCGATTTCTCTCCGGTCTGACATCCTAAATAGCAGAGGTGTGACCAGTCACTGTTTTGCAAGTCACTATTAAGTCACAAGTCTTTCCAGTCAAGTCTCGAGTCAAGTCCAAGTCAAAGACAACCAAGTCCAAAGTCAATGATGTGGAAGTCAAGTTCATAACTTTGAATTTTCAAGTCATAATCAAGTCGTCTGTCCAAATTCAATTTAAGGAATGAATAAATTCCAGAAATAAAGCTTCTTAAAGCTTCATTTATTTGCTCAAACAAGCAGAAAGTGCAACTCTGATTAAAAACAAAGAGGTGCTGCAGTTAGCAGTACAAGATCAAACCCAGATCGAATAATGATTTATGATTTTTGTCCATGTTTTGCCATTTTTATGCTAAAATATCAAATATGCTCAAGTCATCATCAAGTCAACAGATGCAAGTCGATTCAAGTCGCAAGTCATTGGCGTTCAACTCCGAAGCAAATCGTAAGTCTTTAGATTATATCAAGTCAAGTCAGACATCATTAAAATAATGACTCGAATCCAAGTCATGTGACTCGAGTTCACACCTGCTAAATAGACAGGGGAAATCTCTATCACACACACACAAGCTCAGGTCAGTCAAGATAAAATAATATATCATAAAAAAATATCCTATATATAAAATTTATTATATATATACATATATATATATATATATATATATATATATATATATATATATATATATATATATATGTATATATATATATATATATATATATATAATATATATATATATATGTATATAAGACAATATGACCTAACAGAAAGAATATAAACATCAGCTAATCAGTTTGATGGTGAGGAGGAAAAAGCTGCTGCAGAACCTGGTGGTTCTGGTCCAAATGTCCTGGAGACCAAAGACATGACATCATTCATGTCCATGCTAGAGACCAGCAGATGGAAGGGGGAGTTACAGTGCTGTTAGCTCTGGGGAGGCAGCCTCTATCTGCCCCCCCCCCCCCCCCCCCCCCCACACACACACACACACACACACGGTGTGTGTTGATACTTTGCTCAGTAAAAACATGTCTTTTACCAGGCATTAATATGGATAATAAACTTAAGAATCTTGAACCTTTTGTGTTGATTCCTCCTACAGAACAGTGGCCTGAGGTTTCTATGACCTTGGACTAACATTCTGACCTCTGACTCCTTTTGACCCACTCTGAGATTTCCTGAGTTGTGTACGGATGCACTGTTATGGTTTAAAGAGGAGAGGAGCTGTAGCTGTTTGGGTTAATACTCGTGTTTTCAGTGAGTAAGCACTTACAGCCAGGTTCTTTAACAAGAGACCAACCTAAATGAGCAGCTGTGGTTTAGTCGTCTTTACAGTGCACCCCTGCTGCCCCCCCACATACACACAAACCCAGCAGGAGTGGAACACAGCGTTCCCCACTCCTTCACCGACAGATTGACGCGTACACAAAAGGGAAACTTCTTTCATTTGAAGCACCGGCTGTTTTCCCAGATTTGTCCTGGAATGGTCATGCTGGGAGACTCCATCCCAACAAAACAGCGCCACCCTCAGCAGCCACGATGGATATGATGTCACCGCTCCAGTACTGGATGAATATTCAGCAGAACAATCCACCGTGATGAATGTTCAGAAGCCATTCATTTTTCAGACCTGTAGTTGTGCAGCTGACCGGGTTCAGATCCACAGAACATTCGTGTGTAAAATCAGAGGAGTTCTCCTTTAACCAGCTTTCATTATTAGACTCAGTCCTTATTGTTTTATTACACATTCAAACTCTAACAAATAAAACAAAATAATAAAATAAAACATAATGTGGACTCTTTTAGTTAAAATTGTGTAAAAACATTAAATTCAGCAGCAATGTCTAAAAGTGACACTTTAGCAAGCCCAAAGTATTCTCTGAGTCTGAGAACAATTTATTATTAGTTTTAATTAAAAAAACGTATTATTGTAGTACTTATTTTCATTAAATAACAACACGTCATTTGTATTAGTCGAAGATTGTATATGATAAATTCTGATCATCAATAGATCTTCAATAAAGAGAAATGAGTCACATTTAGTCACAAACAGAATAAAATATCAGAGTAAAAATGTTGCAATAAGAGAAAATGTGTGTGTGCGTGCGCATATGTGCATGTGTGTGCGTGCATGTGCCCTCATGTGTGTGTGTGTGCATGCGTGTGCCTGCATGTGTTTCTGTGTGTGCACATGTAAGTGTGTGTGCATGGATGCATGTGTATGTTTGTGTTCGCATGCGTGTGTTTGTGCGTGCATGTTTGTGTGAATGCGTGTTCATTCGTGTGTATGTACGCATGCACGTGTAAGTATGTGGGTGTGTGCATGCACGTGTAAGTGTGCTTCTGCATGCATGTCTGTGTGCGTGCATGTAGGTGTGTGTGTGTGTGTGCATGCCCTGAAGAAGAGAAAGCTGTGAGAAAAATGTTTGTCAAAGCATCAAATTGCAGAATCAGCAATCTGATTGCTTTCATTTTGTGATTATTTCACTGGGAGCTTCAGCATCACAAAACAAAAGGTGAATTCTGTAAATTCATCATGTTGGAAAACCATTTACTGAGAACACTTTAAGCTGCAGAAAAAGGAACGTCTGTGTTCATGAAGGATTTAATTCAGAGTGAGAACATTTGAATGTTGTCAGGTTAAACTGCAGAAGAAATTAAACAATGAAGAATTTGCTGCAGACGAATAGAAAACCTGCACTTGATTTTTTTCTCAATTTGCTCTGACATCTGGATAAATAACTCGTGTTGCATTGTGTAGAAATGTGAAAAGTATTAAATATCACTGCAGCTTTACTGATTATTTCCTTTGTGTGTGTGTGTGTGTGTGTGTGTGTGTGTGTGTGTGTGTGTGTAAAAGTAGGGTTTCCAGCAGCTTTCCTGTAGTCCAGGAGTTTCTGAAACAAAACTCCCAGACTTAAAGCTGATCCTCTGCCAGATGTCAAAACAGAATCCTTCATTTATGCCACTGGGGCATAACTTTTTACACAACCTGTTGACTTGTTTTGGCATCAGGAGCTGCAGGGAATTCACCCACAGATGCCATACCAACTGTGTTTCCCAGTCCAGGATGCATTTCTCCCAGAATCCTTTGCTTTGTGAACTTCTTCTCCAGACTGCAACTCTTAAAAGTCATCAAAGTGAGGAGGCTCCATCCGGCTGGCGCTGTTGTCCCCCAGAGCATCTCCCACTACGGGGTAGGCTTTGCCGCAGTTTGGGGGGAAACTTTTAACTCAAACTTTTGCTGAGCAGCAGAGATGAACTCACCATAGAGCACCCTCTCATAGCGTGTGTTCCTTTTTGTTTCACCTTTCTGGACGAGGACACTGAAAATCTCTTGCCAGTCCAAAAACAACAACAAAAAATAAAAGAAAGACAGAAAAAACCCAAATTACCCTTTCTAGTTGGGATTTAAGAGTCTTATTTATTTCTTTTGCAGATTGTACTCAACTAGAAATAGGTAAACAATTATCCAAAAACGTGTAGCATTTCACACAAAATGGAAATAAACAGATAGAACTTCATTTATTTATTCAGTGTTTGAACGTTTTTTTTACATAGTTTTTTGCATTTCATCACCTTATCATCAGAAAACCAAATAGATGATTTAAAACGTCCAGGAAGCATGCATGACTGTCAGTAGAGGGCAGCATTGTTCCACCCTAGTTGGAGCAGCAGCAGCTGACTAGACATGGATCATTGAGCAAGCATAGATACATATGTGTGTGTGTGTGCATTTATGTATTCCTCATCCGTCAGTTTTTCTTTGTTTGACTGAAAGAGCATGTCTGTCCACGGACCTTAACTTGTGGGAAGTTATCTACGAAGATGCCGTCCTCAGATAAAAAAATAATAATTTTATTTTAAAAACCGGAGAACAACAGTGGGGAAATCTACATGAGTCTATGTCCGCACCTGGAAAGAAATCACGGCTACATACTAATTATGGGATACAAAATTATTAATTTACACCCACACAGAACACAACTAGAGACATCTTTGGCGTTAAACACTCACCTGTAGGGAGTAGCTCAGGTCGTGTCCCAACCTTTGCTGGTTTTACTGAGATAAATGCAACGCTGGTGGTTCGGTTTCTGCTAAACTTGGAAGGTTAATTTGCTGAACTGTTAGAACAGGATGCAGGTTTGCCGCTTCTTTAGCTACAGCAGCACATTCAGGTATGATGCTGCTGATCAAACACACACCTTCAGAGTAAAGTGGTTTAAGAAGCTACGGACCAACACTGGATGTGTCTGCAGGGACCCACTAGGTGGGATGTAGGTGGGACTGCCAGCTTTGATCAAGGTAAAGCCGACTGCTGCTATCCGATGGGCAACAGCCTCCCTTCACTATTTCTAGTCTCTATGTTATGGTTCCTCCTAAGCTCTGGGAGGCCTTGAAATGGAGTGACAAGCTGTCTCCATAAATCCAGAGCCCCCCGCAGGGGGGTCATTATTATGTGTAACAGAACTGCTTTAGATGTTGGCCTGAGCCTTTGGCCCCGACCCAGAGCCGGTCCACTTTGACCCCACCGATCTTTGCTCACCAGGGCTGTGGTAGCATTGCATTAAGGGACTTTAGTGGGGGTTGTGTGCTTGGTTTGTGGGGGGAAATCAACACGGGGAAAGCCAGGCGAGCTGATCATCTTCGTTCTTGTCTCTGACGAGGCTTGCTCAAGAACACAGTTTATGAATGCCACGCCATTCCTAACTTTAAGGAGGAAGAGTTGGTGGCAGACTTCAGCTAGCAAACACTTCCTGAATGACAGCCAACAGGATCACGATTCAGGAGTCCACAGTGTTTGGTGAGTGAGTTTCTATTTTGGATCCCCACCAAGAGACACAGCATTCTGCTGAATAAAACGAGGTAGACGGCTCAAGTGTCTACATCTATTCACCTCATTATGAGCCAAAAATAACCTGTCGATGAAGTGATGCAGCCCGTCTCCCTACACCCACTCTGATCGTTTCTCCTGCCCACTTTCATTGCCCAACTCGGCAGCACCGCCCAGCTCGACCAGCGTGTACTGACCTAACCTCCGGGTACAAACTGCTGTTGCTGCTGTAGGAACGTCTCCACACGGTGCTGCGGGCTCCTCAGAGGGAGCACCAAGGTCCCGTCTGGGAGGAGGAGGAGGTTTAACTCTGCTCCGCTTGTTAACTCGAATGGATCTTTGAGTCCCAATGGGATCCTGGGGACACAGAGCCACTTCACTCCCATTCCTCTCCAGAACTTCCTCTTGGGACATGAAGTAATCATTATTCCCATCGTTGCAGCACGGAGGCCCTGAAGAGCATGGAGGAGAGCAGCACTCCTGTGTAGCTGCATGCTCGCCTGAATGAAGTTGCCCCCTTCCACAAGAGCTTCCACGCCTTTTCCTGAAATTCCCAGTTTTTCCAGACTGTGCCTTGAGATCTCGCTGAACAAGGGCTGTGCCCGTGGAGGATGAAAGAAAACACTGCTCTTCCTCAAATAATGTCTCCATCATCATCTTCCTCCTGGCTTTCTGTCTCACTGAGCGCTTGATGGCACAAGCAAAATCCGCAGCATCGAGGGAAAGTGACAGAGCCGCCATAATGAACATGAAGTTGAGCATCACAGTCTTCTCGGTGGGTCTGGAGATGTAGCAGTCCACCTGGGTGGTGCACGGAGGATGCTGGCAGAGAAACCTCCTGGGGATGTAGAACCCAAACAGATAGTAGTGAGCCGCCCCAAACCCAGCTTCCAGCAGCGTTCTGAACAGCAGGTGAAGGATGTAGGCTCCCGTGAAGCATCGCTGCTCAACAACCACAGGGACTTTACTCACACACATTTCGTTGAAGGGCTCCTGTTGGACTTTGAGCAGTGGGAAAGCTTTGGTGTGTCCAGCAGAGTTCAGAACCACTGAGAAGGTATTTGACACCTTATGGACCACGTAGAAAACAAAGATGATGAAAGGGAGACACAAAGAGATGAGCTGGACCAGCCAGAAACGAAAGAGCGAGACGGGGGAGAAGAGGTCGTAGCAGACGTTGGAGCAGCCGGGCTGGATGGTGTTGCAGACAAATCTCTCCTGCTCGTCCTGGTAGAGGGGAAACCCGGCAAAGAGGAGGACCAGGAGACGGAGCAAGATCATCACAATGAGCCACACCTTTCCTGTTTCAGAGAAAGAATTAAACTTTGAGTACTTCAAATCTTGAAATCAGAAAAAGTTCCATTTCATTTAAATGAACTCACCCATCAAAGTGATGCAGTGGCTGACGGAGATGAAGAGAACCTCTGAGATGCTTGGTTCCTTCATATTGGTTTGTTCAAGGCCTTTCTTTCAAAATCCTGCTGTCGTTTACCAAAGGGTGACACCCCTCAGGTAACGCCTTACTCCATATCTACCCACTTCTCCTCTCTCCACCCTTCCTGTCAAGGGTCACAATGTCTTCAGTCAACAACCTGTAGGTGAACTCCGATCTGGAACATGAGTTTAAAATCCAGTTTGTACAAATCCAATCAACCAAAAGTCACTTCAGTTTGTTTGAAGGAAAACAAGCAAATGCCACATCCCACCTCTTCCTCTGTTCCCTGCAGACAACAGTTTGTCCTCAGACAACAGAAGACAGGAGCTTGCCCTATTGTAGGTCTATTCTTAACACATTTCCAAAAGCACGTAGCCGTCCTGGCATTGCAGAGATATTTTCGTGCTGCTGGTTGTCGTCGCTACAGAGGAGCAAGCCTTCAGGCTTACTCATTCTGAAGGTATTAGGTTCTTGAGCACAAATGGTGAACATGTTCCGACTGACCACTTCATCATCACACAAGAAGCTGCTGCAGCTTTACGAAAAATGTAGGTTGTAGTAAACCTTTATTTATCAAGCACCTTTTACAGACATGGTCACAAAATACTGCACAGTAAAATAACAGGGTGAAATATTAAAGATTAAAACTGACAAAAGACAAAATCTAACAAAAAATAAACAAAAGTAAATTTTAAATAAATCCTGAACTCATGTGGAAGCCAGGGTAGGAAGTAGGGATGCACCGATGGATCGGCATTTGATCCCAATCGGCCAATAGCGCCCCTATCGGTTTTGATCTGAGTTTTCAAAATAGATCAAAGCAGACCGATCAGACCATTTTAGATTAGGTTACATTTCCTTTATTCCCAGATTATGTAGTTTGTAGCACTCATTATAATGTTGTAGAAAATTTCTGGCCAATCCACGTGATCGGTATCAGTGATCAGCATTCTTTGATATCGGTATCGGTGATCGGCAGCAAAAAACCTGATCGGTGCATCCCTAGTAGGAAGACTTCCTGGATGGTGTTAGGAGTCTCGATGGAACATCCTGTATGGCTCCAGGGAGATGAATAATCTAGTCCAGTGAACAAGGTGTTTTGTTAAATGTGATGACGCAAAAGCATGAATTGTCTAACGAAGAACACGAAACCACGTGACAATTAGAAATGCTCCTCTATAGACCAACGACAGGAGCATGAAACAGATTTAATGTGTGCATTAAAGTTCAACGAGGAATCAGAGAAGACTCACAGGTTACTTATGCACAGCTTTTCTGTGAAACAGAAGAAGTGGAGGGCTTGTTTGATTGTTGTGTGAGATTCAAGTGAAGCTAAAATCATGGTTATGGCCCTCCTGATGTTTAAGATGTGGGTTAAATAACGTACGTCTTATTGAACTCATTAGGATTAAAAGACAAGTAAAGCTGAATATCAGCAGCATAAAAGGGGGGGAGGGACATTGGATAGTGCCATCGTATGGGAAGAACTGAAGCAGAACAGGACCCAAGACTGAGCCCTGGGGAACTCCACAGGTTGAGTCAGTTCACAATAATGGGAAGAGAACAAATCCAGAGCAGAGCCAGTGATCTGATCTCAGAACAGTTTTCTGAGTCAGAAACCGTTAAAGCCAACCCAAATTTGTCAGAAATATTTAGTCTGAATGGTAACAGGTGCAGTTTACCAGCAAAGTGTCCTTTAGGTTCATTTATCAGTCCTGATTGTAAATTTAAAAGTTGGATGTCTTCTTATAAAGCTTTCCTTTCTGGAGCATACAGGTGCATGTTAACACATTAACCTGGCAATGCCCATCTGAGAAATTTCATTTCAGTTTCAACGAGGAATCGGAGAGGACCATTTCAGTTTTGGGCTGAAATACATTTTGCTACTCCTATAAAACAAACCATAATATTTCCCCTCCATCCAGGTGTTAGCTTGTGTTCTCAGATGAACACAGGAAGGCTTTTGAACGCAGCATGAGTCTACCCACTGGGGATGAAAATGAGATCAAAAACAGCAAGATCCTCTTAACTAACTACATTTTCCTCCATGCTGGTAATCTCAATCACCTGACACCAATCTTTTCTACTGATGACCATTCGTTACAACAAATAGATAAAAACAGGAAATGAGTCTGTGCTGCTGCCGTTTCACATCAAACAGGACTTTGGACCATGAATAAAGTTTGATTTCTGAAACAGAATCGGGTATTTGAAGAAGACTTTTATAAGAACATGGAGCTTGCATGTGCAGAGAAACGTCTTAGATGGCAAATTACCAAAAGTAGTAGTTGAAATGCTAATGAGTTTAGGATTAAACGTGTCCCACTGTGACACACTGACAGGATGTAATCTCTATATTAGCTCTTGCTCTGAGCCATTTATGGTAACAGCTTCTCTTCTGGAGAAAGCCCCCCCCCTAACGAATGTGGCAATAAAGACAATTAATTTATTGCAAGATTTGAAATTTTATTTCTTGTGTATTTCTAAACATTGCTTCGAAAGTATAATGGGAATGCAGAACTCAAACGGGGAGAACATACAGAACAAAACAGTTTGGCAAACTGAGAATGGAAACATAGAAACACAAACAAGACAATAATACAATAGGTTGGAAATGTAAAAAAAGTCTTCACAGCAGGTGAAATCATCATGATCAACACTGAACTGGTCACACACAAGAACAGTTAGAGAGGAAGGAGAAAACTAAAGTAACACTCTAAACAGAGGTAGAGTTCAGTGCACAAAGGCTGTGACACACATCTAGCAACCGTTGCCATGGCGCCACGGGCCGGACCACACGGCACCAGCGCTCAGCTCTGAACGCACACACACAATAAATAAGATATACAATCTTTGAGAGCAGTTTGAACTCACAAGAGCAACTCTGGTTTCTATTTCCTAAAGACACATTTGCACTTTTATTTTCCCCCTCATATAAAGTCCCCCCCCCAAAAAAAAAACTATCTAAACTAGCTACACCTCTTTTTAGGAGCAGACGCCTCTTCATAAAAGTCGTGTGCACGTGGGCCGAGTCCGAGATCGCTGAAACAATCGTACAATCGTCTCTGAGACTTTGGTACAACCCTATCCCTCCTCAGGTCAGGGGTCAGCCAACTGAACAACCCACTTATTAGTTTGACAGATGAAGGGGTTGTCACTAAAACACACAAACAAGACCAAAACAACAGCATCGCAGCTGAAACGGAAGCTTTTCTGATCCGTTTTATTTCAGTAAAGGAATGAAAAACACATCTGCTTATAACCAGCCGACACATCACTGTTAAGAAGAGGGTCCAGGTGGTCACGAGGCACACACTGTCAAGTAGAAACCATAATAAAAACGTTCTCCTGAAGTTTGTAGTTGAACCTCTGTTAGATCGTGTTTACTCTGTGTTGCTCTGATGGAAGTGACTTGTTCAGAAGACAGATACTGTATTTATTTTGAAATAAAAACACAGTAAACTAAATGATTGGGTATGTAAATGAGATAAAGTAATTTCCCTGTTAAAGCCACGTTTTTATTTAATAACCAAAGCAGGTTTGGATAACTGACGTAATGACAAGCTGGCTGTGACTTTATTTATGGTTTTAGTGAGTTTTTATTATAAAGCAAGCATTAATGCTCTTTAATGCAAACTTATCCTGAGGGAAAGAGATCACCTGTACGCATAAACTAGTAAATTAGAATTCAATAACTCAAAGATTAAAAAAAAACATGATTCCCATTATTTAACATTTCATAGTTTTGATTTTTGTGGTAATTTTTACTCCATTTTTGTCCATTTCAGGACAAGAATCATTTCAAAATAAAATGAATGCATTTGGCAGTGAGAAAAATGTAAATATGTGTGAAATGATCATTATAGTTTTATTTCTACTGACAGGATGATGAACTTAAGTGGTTTCTCCCATTCAGAAGCAAAACATTTCCCACCCCTCTGGTAAAAACTGATAAATATTCATCCTGGTTTCATCTCACTGGTTCTGTATGTACACTGTACAAAGACAATATAAGACAGCTTTATACAATCCCTCTCTCTAAAGAGGGTTTGGATCATTCTCTCTGATCCTGACCAACACCGACAACCCCTGAAGTGGTCTCCATACGGTGTTTTTACGTTGTGCCATTTTGTTTGTTAGCTGGAAGAACCGTGCAAAAATGTTAAAACAAAAACTAATCATTTGTTCTGCTCCTCGTGTTTAGTGGGGGGAGCTTTTGAAACGAGATGATTACAGGCACCACAGGTCGGTGAGGTGGCAGTGAAACTCGAGCTCTACAGTACGTCTCCCATCAAGTCAGTCATCCAAGTTCAAACGTGTTTTACAGCAGAAATAATAAACAAATGGATATTGCTTCATTTGAGTGATGAATACAATTTTTCCAGGTGGAAGCAAACACGTCTCCATGATCAGTTCTCAGGGTCTGATGATATGCAGTCAAGTAAAACTCCACTTTTCGGATTGTTTAGTATTTAACTGGAATGTAAAAGAATAAATGTCTAAATGTCACAAACCATTCAAGGAATTATTAGAAAGCTGTAATGAGCCTGAAAGCTGCTTGAAAGATCATAGTTGAGTAAAGAATAAAGGAATGTTCACAACAATCAGGGAAATGATGAAACACCTTGGCGGTTGTGTTTTTTATGTTTTGCTCTTCAAGCTTTTCCAACTTCTGAGCGTCTCAGTATCGCCGTTTCCATTTGGCTGACTTCCTTCTGCGGGATTTGCTTTGGGACCTTTCCTCCCTGACTTCGTTTAGCTCAGCTTCATTTGGTTGGGTTCAGGCAGCCAGCGGGACGTTTCTTATGTACAAGAACCAGAGCGAGTGCAAACACACTTGCAAAAGTGCCTGTCTGAGACAAAGTGTGTGTCCAGGCAGACCCACCGATCTACAGAAGCGCTGCTCGGCGGGTCGGCCTGATAATTGGGCGAAAAGGGCGTTCCAGGTCTGTGGACTCTCCCCGAAGGTGACGGGTATTAGGAAACGATAGCTGGACACCACCGCACCACCGCCAGGTTGTCCGCACTCGCTGAGCGCTTCTTGGCTAGTTTCTTCACGTCCTTGTATTTATCATCACACAAGCGTGAGATGGCCTGGAAGTCAGAACATCAAATGAGTTACAACAGCTCTAACAAGGACTACACAGACAGATTTGCGTTTCTTTCAGGTACAAAGTGAGCAGACGGCACACTAGATGCCGTAGGCAGAATGCAGCTTAAAACCCGCCTTCAGTGTTGGTGCAGACCCTCACCTCTAGCTTCTGAGCCCGGTCCCTGGTGAGCGGCTCCAGGGGGAAACTGAGGTTGTTGGCCTCAGCCAGCGAGCGCAGGTCAAAGTAATACTTGGCATACACGCTGGACGGCACGTTGATGTTAAACTGCAGCAGCTCCAGGAACTGCCGCTCCAGCTCGTTCCTTCAGCAGAAACAAAACCCGTTCAGTCAGAAATCAGAGCTGGTTGTGATCGAGGCCAAGCTAAAAGGACTGTGCACGCACGCGCACGCACGTACGCACGCATGCACACACACACGCACGCACGCACGCATGCACACACACACACACAGAGCCAGTTAATCCCTGTTCACCAACAAACACGGGCCTTTTCTTTAATAAAATAAAACACTACCTCAGGAAAAATGCTTCAATTATCACGTTTAAGAAAGAACATTAATCCCACATCCTGACAAAGCCTCGCGCCCGGCATCGCTGTGATCCTTTCTGCTGTGTGATGACAGCAGCTTTCATCTGTTTCTGCTCAGCCGTGACCGATTCAGTTCACATTGGAGCCAATATCCATCTCTCCTTCCAAGCTTTTGTTCCTCACCCACACACATTTTCAGCATGCAGCAACAGAGGAGCTAAATTTAGATTGCACTGCAGCAAAACCGTCTAAAATTGTTGCTTCTTTTTATTTTGCCAGAGAATAAATTGGCACTTATTGTTTTAGTTTGTTTGTTTTAATGCATTTATAATGCCTGCAGTTGTTTTAGCACAAGCTGGTGGAAGCTGGGTGTCAGAATGTGGAGATTCACCCTCTATGCTGTTATGTCAGCGCACACCAGAGGCTAGGATTGGCTCTGCTGACCGGGGGGACTTCCAGACAGGTGGGTTCCTGTCAGTGGGCCCCAAAGACCAGAATAGACCTTCACCAACAGAGTAGAGGTCAAAGGTGACAGCTGCAGGAACACGCCTACAGCATCACTTCCCTTTTCAGAATAATCCCAATGACATTCCAGAGGATTTAAGCGTCTTAAATTTTTTGGTCATTTTTTTGATCTACATTTAAACTGAGGAATAAAGGTGTATTCAAGGTGAAACGCACAGGCCTTTTTAGGAACTGGTTGTATTATATGTTCTTGCTAATTTGGTCACAAGACGACAACTTTAAGTGCGACTGTTCACACCTGGGACTAAAATCTGTCTGGTTTCAGTTACTCACTAAATGCAGATAAACATGTCGCTACTACAGATGGAGATTCACTGATCTGAACCGGCGGCTCATTTATGACGTTAGCGACTCTTTACTAGTGTCTCTCAGCGGTAAAAACCATCAATTACTTCATAGTTGACCTAATATCTCTTCGTTTATGAGGCGCATTGGACGCATCATCAATCTCTTTTAGCGGAAGCTAGGTGGCGTGCACCGCACAGCCGCAGCTGGACAATCTCCAGACAGAAGAACTTTTTGCCGTTAACCGTGGTTCAGAGAAGCCCACCTCCCTGCATCTCCAGCATTCATGTTTCTCTTACAGGAACAGTAACTTTAAGCTACAACGGCTCTCACAATAACTCCTTATGGATAATCAGAATATTTACAAACATTTTCAGAAATTTACAGTGTTTTGTAATAATTCCCAATAATTATATGATGATCTTTTATAATTTTCTGATTCTGTTGGGTTTATTTTTCTGAGCAGTTACTGTCTAAACCTCATCTCAACTCCATTATTTCAACAGAGTATTGTAGCAATAAAAACATGTATAATCTCTTTTACGGATGACTTCTAAATGAAAACGGGTTAGGGTTAACCTGCTGCTGCTGTGATATAATCCAGACTTGTATCAGGAATAAGATCAGAGCTGCAGTGTGATGGAGTCGCACACTTTCATCTCACTGATGCAGTCATGTGCTTTTCCATCACCTCATCTGAAGTGTTTGCCCACAGGAGGAGTTTCACATATCAAAGTGTTTACTGGGAACACATTTAAAAATCTATAAAAATAAACATTATTTAGGTGAGATGGTTTGTGTGTTGTAAGCATAAAGAACAGGAGAACATTCCTTTTTCAAAGATGAGACATAGAGCAGTCATTTTCCGATTTTGACTGAGTGCGGTGTATTTCTAGAGACTCACATGTCCTCGACGGTAATGTCTTTGAGAATTTGGCAGTAGTCGACGTTCCAAACCGCCTGGTCGTCCCAGACCTTGGAGGCCAGCAGGATAGCTCCCAACACGACACGCTTCCAGTTGGCAGGACAAATGTCAATCTCAGCGTAGGTAAGGAGCCTCTCCAGGTATACCTAACACACAGAGAAGTATTCTCAGTAATGTCTCCCTCCTCCACCTCTCCCAAAATGATGAAATCCAGTTTCCCTGTAGCTGAGCATGCTACTCGACGCCCTGCACATCTGTTTCTCCACACCACCAGGCCGACACCTCAACCTCAGACCGTGGACGACTCAGAAGATCTCCTGAACCCTCGGGATGTGTTACTGAAAATGTCCATAGCTACTAGAAAAACCTCTGATGAAATGAAAAGTTAAGGATTTATTCTTCATTTCTGACTGGAAAACACTTTATTCTGTCTATCTGAATGTGATAAATCTTACAAGGAGCAATACAGACACTTTCATTAGCGAGCTGCTTTAGTCATCTGCTACAGGGGTTTTAAAATTCAGATTAAAAGTAGCTTTAAATTTGTGCTACAATAACAACTAAAGCTGTGGAAAATAAATTAAAATGTTCCTTCTTGGGGCCAGTTTTCACTTCCTGACCAGAAAAAGCTCAGGTGGCTAATTAGACCCATCTTGCTGAGCTGGGCCAAGGGTCTGCAGACAACACTGCTGTTGCTCTGATGTGGCACCAGGCAGCAAACACTGAAAAGACCCCATGAAATGAGAGCCGGACCACGTGCTGACCCGCTCAATCTACTAACGAGCACAACAGCAGCTATGGTGAAAGAAAATGAGCCTAAATTACATTTTCCTTACAAATTTGTTATTTTGTGTAAATAATGACATCCCAGGCTTTGCTGTGGAGACACGGAGGAGGCTGAGCGTATGCCAAGCGGTTCTGTGTGTTTATCAGGCAGTTCTGCATCACTGCTGTGAAATACCACATGAGCAGAAACACACAGTGAGACTAACAGAGAAACAGGTGTTACAGGCTTCCAGTCACCGTGATCACAAAGATACCTTTACTTAAACACATTTAAGCATCTGACAGGTGTTTGATACAGCACCTTCTAGAGTCCTGGAACCCCCCAAGGCACTTTACAACACAACCAGTAATTCACCCATTCACACACACACACATTCACACACTGGTGGGGATGAGCTACAATGTAGCCACAGCTGCCCTGGGGCACACTGACAGAGGCGAGGCTGCCGAGCACAGGCGCCACCGTTCCCTCCGACCACCACCAGCAGGCAAAGCGGGTTAAGTGTCTTGCCCAAGGACACAACGACAGCGACAGACTGAGCTGGGCTCGAACCTGCAACCTTCCGATTTCGGGGCGAGCACTTGACTACTGTGCCACCGTCGCCCCAGGCCCCAGGCCAGTATCAGGCCACCAGGCCAGCTGCATTGGCCACACACATAGTTTCAGTGGGTGATGTTACCAGGCAGACATGAGAGGAAGAGGAGCTGAAGAGGAGGAAAAAACCTTCATCTCCCCCAAACTTCACCTTCAAATCATTCGTTGAAACTTGGATGTGGGAATTTAAATTTTTGTCACGGAACAGACGATAAACTACAAAAAATTTGAAAAAATGACATTCCTTGTATACGTCAACTTCCTGGTCTCACCTGTTAGATGTTTTTTAGATAAACCAACAGCTGTAATGTGATCATTAGCTCCATAAATGAAGACATCAGAACAACAACATAACTGAAAGGAGATAAGGGGGAACACACCCAGTGTGAGCCCACTATTCACCACACTCTGGAATAAACTCACCAAAGTGACAATAGCACACTCAGCAGTGAGCTGAGCAGCGCTGAACAGCGTCCTGACGAAGCGGTAGATCTGCTTCTGCTCTGGGTCGTATTTGTCATAATCAGCAGGAACTTCAGACTTCTGTGTAAAATAATAAAGTGTAAATGCTGAACAGAAATGCGGTGTTAGCTTGAAACATAAGCTAAAGTAAACAGAACTGACAAATTTAGCTGGGATTCCTCCCTGTGTGTGTGCCGATTTGTTTTGTTTCGCTGATGATTTGTGACGGCTGTAAACAGAATGAAAGTGTGTTTGCAGCTAAAGTCATACCGAGAGAGGATGCAGCTTCTCATCAAAAATGTCTAACAACATGCGACCATCAACGTCTCTGGAATGAGAAAGAGGAGAGGTCAAACAGGGAAGCAAATCTCATAAAAGCCACACGAGGCTTTCTCCTGCAGTCCACAACCAACAAATCAGAATAAACTCATCTAATTCATCTTTAGTTTAGTTGTACAGTATTGATTCTGTGCATTTCCTTTAAATCCACTTTCACACAAAAATATCACTTTTAAAGTATTAAACAGTCAAACAGGGGAGATTAGAAGAAATATGCTTGAAATGACAGCAAATAATCCTTTAATAATCAAGTTTAATTGTGACATGCCTAAAGACACCCACCCTACTGATTATAAGCTATAGTATCCAATCAGGTCTACTTAAATCCTTACAATCAAATCTGAGTAAATGAAGGGTTTTCACGTTTTAGCTAATTTTACTGTTTAGCACCATTTAAAGGTGTGGATCACTGACAAAAAATATATTTTTAATGATTATTTCTGATTATAATCAATCACTCTGTGCTTTTCAGCGTGCACGCTGAACATGAAAATAATCTCCTACACCTATCACCTGCATTAGCTTCAGATAGAAATAGACGGTGAAACTCTAGGATTTAAAAAAATCTGACAGATCAACGTAAGGGTGGTCAATATGGAAAAAAAAAATCATATCACGATTTTTTTCTTGCAAAATCTCAAAGATGATTTAATCATAATTGCTTTCTATTTTGACAATTCAGACGTTTATTTCTTGTACAGAGAAAAAATTCTCTTGTTAGGCTAAACATAGATGGGATGAACAGAACTCCGGTCGTCAGCCACGGTTAAAAGGGTAACAACACGAACCAAAGTCCCCAATAAAAGCCACGAAGCCAAATGCTAATTTAGAGCAGACCACTGATCCTGGGTTTTCCTGATCGAGCAGACGCGTGAGAATAAGTGTAATGATCGCTCAGAAATGGAGCAAGACGGCCGCTGTGAACGAGTATGATGCGCTTCTTCAAAGATTCGTAATCATTTATGTCCGCATCTTAATGCATCAATTATTAGACTATTTTCCTCGGCTTTACCGAGCACCCTAGCTAAACAAGCCAATCCGCTGCCTAAAACTTGCTCTGATTGGTTCATGCTGACAGAAGCAGACTAGCAGATAGCGCGACTCGGCTGAGAGAAACAAAACAAATGTTGTGCCCATAGACGCATCTAGAAATAACGGCGTAGATGGGTGTTGGAATACAAATAAATGTTTCTAGGATTTCAGAGTTTTGGTAGACAGTAATAACGATCTTATATAGTCAGATTGCACGGCCCTAAATCTACATCACACTGTCATTTAACATTCATGGACTCACCCATCTTGACAGGAAAAGTTGTTGTTGGTTTAGCATCTAGGAAACTGCTAGCAGAAGCTAACCGTTAGCATTAGCAACTCCACCACACAACAGAACTCCTTTAAACTTGAGTCATTTGTGGAGATAAAACATCAACATTGCAAAGCAAACAGGGTCAGAGGTAGAATCGCAAATCAGACTAAATCCAGTCGTCTGCAGCTCTCCTCTGATCTGGTTCATTTCTTCTGATTAAACGTGTAAATTACTCCTTTAATTCATCTGAAAAAGGTCACTATAGGAGAATTCTAGAAAATCTATCTGGAGCATAACAGAATAAAAACACAGACATTTATTGCATCTCTTTTTTCATTTTACACTAAGAAAAGATGCCAAATACTTCTCATACCTGTTCTTTATATGGTAGTATATCGCCAGGGCTACACTGTAAAGACAAAAAAGTATTGAAAGCAACAAAAGAGGACAAAAGGCCAAATGCCTGCTGCCTATTATAATTACAGATTGTGTCAGTTAAATAAACGAGTTACCATTTGATGGTATATTTGAGGTTGGGCTGACTGACAGTGCTGTCATCAAGAAATATGGTGGAACATGAGCTGTACTTCCGTCTGACTGGGCCTGGCTGATGCTGTGGTCCATATGCACGCGTTCATACCAAAAACAAACACACAAATACGGGTCTGTCACTCCTATCTGGACAAGCCCGAGGCCTGAGTCACTCATGACGTGGGAACATGCAGGGTGACATTCATTCTCTAAATCTTTAGAGATGATTTAAACTTCAGTGCTTTGGGTTCTTGTACGAGTTATGTCCAATTTGGCACATTTAGCAAAAAAAATCTTTGACTTCTCATGCAAAGGTGTTTATAATATTTGCTTTGCAGAAATCTGGATTATTGCAACATTTTTCTCCTGACCATGAGTCATAAAAAAGATGAACTGCACCACATTAATAAAACTTAAAACAAACAAACAAACTCAGGACTGAGGCAAAGACAAAAGTTTGTTGAAGTTACAATATCTTTACCTTGTTCTCCGAAATGTGTGTGAACTTGCAAAACACACAACACGTTTAAATGACTATTTGCACGTGAATCAAACTTGATAGAGAAATCTGATCCAGTGACATAAATCATTTGTTTTACTTACATGGTTGATATAAAGGCTCTTCCTCTTTTCTCTCACTGTAAAGGAAGATGGGAAAACAGCTGTAACATGAATCTCAGCACACATGCAGTACATGGCCCTCACAGACAGGGGGCAACACATCTCTAGGACTCAAGTTCACACACTGAACAGCTTTCCTTCCCTGGTAATTATTCTCAACATTTCACAAAACATTACAGCATTTTCAGCTGAAAACAGAATGTTTGAAAGCTTGTAAAAATACTACATTTCTATTAAATTAGGTGGGTTTATTATTCCTTTAATCAGTTTGGTGCTCATGCTTCCAAAATAAATCAAACACACTGACTGGTTCATCCAGGTTCCAGTCGTTATTTAATTTAGATGTTTAATTTTGAACATGTATATCTGCTCATCTGAGATGTCAATTAGCTCTAATTAACAAATGTTGAGATCCGTGTGCCATATTATTGTGAATGAAAGCAGCAAGCCAGTTCTCTAGATCCTTCTGATTGCAGGTTGGGTATTCATTAGACAAACAACAGCAACAGTCTTGCTTTGAACACCTACATTAGATTATTTGCATGATTTAATTTTTTTAAAACTTAATTAAGACTTAGTCATTTCTCTAATGGCATATTTAGTTCTTCTAATATTTGATCTGAATGACCAGAACTCAAAATAACAGATAGCTGTTTGCTAAGCAGAGTGGAGCAGAAGGAAGCAGAACCATCACACGTGTAAATGAGTGCATCACCTTGGGTCTTACCACTGAAACAGACAATAATAATAGCCACTAATGCACATGTTTTCCACTGAGAAGTCATGACTGCACATTGCTTTTGAACAGAAATAAACAGAAGTCCTGCTGGTGAAAACTTTTAGTTCAAAAGACAATGCTGATTAGGAATCGTGTCCTATTTTTCACTTCACAGCCATCGTGTCATTAAAACATTATTTTACTAGGATTGTCAATGAGAGGCCGTTTTTCAACTGATAAAAAAACAAAGAAAGTTTATGTAAATGTTGTCAATGCCATGCAGCCCGTTTCCAGGTGGACTCCAACATGTGCAGTAGAAGGAACATGTAGAGAAAGCTCAGCATGAGGCACATAACCGCCTACAGAACAGAAGCCAACAAGAACATGAACGCAGCAGGTTTAGACGACACCAAGAGGGAGTTCTCCAGAGTCGAGCCCAAGCACACAGTAAAGCAGGACGAAACCAGCCGTCGGAAACCGCACACACCTACAGGCTTACCTCTCTTGTTGGACACCAAGACTGAAAAACAAAAGTCCAAGTTGTTCTCCATGTTTGTGACAGGAATATTCAACACAAGCATCACCATCAAGTCTGCCCTGAAGTCGTAGTGTAGAAAACGATCAAAGCATAAAAATTTTATCAAGACAAATGACTTCTATGTCCTAAAGGGAGATTTTTGAGTTACTTTACAGGAAGCTAGGGCTGGGCGATATGACCTAAAATCATTATCACAATATATTCAGGATTTCACCTCAATAACGATAAAAGAACGATAACTACAGGCATGTGCAGAAACAACAGTTGTCCACTAGATGGGGCTGTCATGTGTATTACATTGAGTCACATGGCTCAAGGTGGTACAACTTCTTAAAGAGACATGAACGTTGCTAACCTACACACATCTTTTCATTTTTTACTATCAAATTTATTGACATGGGAAAAATGATCTCGATAAGAAGCAAGAATTTCGATAACGATACATTTTTGATTATTGCCCAGCCCTACAGGAAGCCATGTGCTTTATATGCTTTTTTCTACAATTACTAAAATTATAACAATGACTAAAAGGGCTTTAATTAGAGCAGATAACAGTGTCTCAGCACCAGATCAATACATCATCCTTCAGGCTACTCAGGCTGATGCTAATCCAGTTGATTAAGCCACACCCCCCCACACACACCCCACCCACACAAACACATATGAATGTTTTAGTAGCTATGACATGATAACAGTGTTGTTTTAGTGGATCTGGACTGCTTAGGGATGATCAAACATCTACTGTGAAAGCAGCTGGTATAGATCATCAGTCACTAGGTTTGTGTAGAAATGTAACGTGGAATAAAATTACAACATTTCATCAAAGACACTTTGGACCCCCATTAGAAAAAGAAAACATTTTTCATGAAAAAGTAAGCGACCCCTTTGTTAAATCATAGACACTATTTAAAAGTTGATCTCAGTTCCACCAGCCACAGACAGACCTAACTATTACTAGAGTGGTCTAAATGATCTCAAAAAGCAACCCAGAACAAAATCTAAAGCCTAACTCATGTAAGGTTAAAGGAGATGGAGCAGAAATGGCATCCTTGGGAGCATTATATGTAATTGTTGGAACCATAACTTCTGCTCTCTACTAGAGACTATTGAAGCAGAACATGTGACCGTAAGCTTGAGCACTCAGGTGTTGCAGCAGAGCAGAAAGCCCACCCCTGAGTAGCTCAAGAAAGAGGACATGTTAAAGTCTTGACTTAAATCCATCTGAGAAGCTGTTTTATTACCTTAAACTGATTGTTCAGGCTGAAAATCCTCCAACAGCAGTGATGTAAAAGCCTGCAGTCGATTTGTCACAATGACATTGACAAACAAGTCGACACTAAATTTAATAGTCAACGTCGTTTATTCTAGGAAGCACAGTTTTTTATTGATCTTGCTTGCTGCCGCACCACTGCTGCTTTCTTCCCTTTTGCTTGAGGCACATGGGCAGTAGTGGCCATCTGAGTCAGCCATTGCCTCACCATCATGGCGACAGGCAACATAGCTCAGAAGTAAGCCAATTACCTCTCGTTAGTTGCTAACATCAACAGGGAGTTGCTTGTATTTATAGCTGTAGTAACAACAGTAGTGATGTCGATTTCATTACCTTTAGCACATGTATGTCACGAATTTGCTCCAACGTTAAACACTAATGATTTACTGTCTCCTGCTATGTTAGTGCTAAAAAAAGTGCTCCTCTTCAATGAACAAGTTTGTTTAGATGGCACATAACTGATCACACTTCAAATTAGAAGCTAATGATGGGTATATTAATGCAGCTGCATCCTGGTGCAATGAACTATACGTTATGCACAACACGATTAGTCAACTAATCGCCAAAAATAACTGGTGATTAGTCGACCATTAAGATAATCATTTGTGGCAGCTCTAGTTGCCACCAAGTGTGTTACAACTTGTTATTAACTTTAGGAGTCAATTACTTTTTCACTCTTTTCCTCTTGAAAGCATTTGAGTGTGACACAAACCCAAAACAGAAGAACTCTAAGGGGACAAATACTATTTTGGCAGCAGTGTGCGCCTGCCATGACTCCAGATTCCTTGGTTCTTACAAAGAGATGTGGAACATTTGAACCGTCTGTTGTTGGGTTTGTTAGTCAATGAGTGAAGAAATGTTAGAGAAAACTCAGAGAAGTGTGACATGCTAAAAAAGGAGAACTCACCATCAGTTTGTGACTTGCTGAGAAAGATGGTGCTAGCCCGAGGATGGTCTGAAGGATTATACTCCATGGGCAAATCTGGAAACAGAAATAAGTCCAACAGACAGTAGTTAATTATTAGATTTGGTTTGAAAGTACGCAACTAATCGTTTCATTCTGAGTCTCAAGAGGCCCATTTGGCTTTAAAATTATTTCTGATAACATTTTATCAGGTAGTTCCTGAAGGTTTGAGGCAGGAGCACACAAAGACACAGCCAGCAGTGTGCCTGAGTTAGATATGTCTAAGGGTTGTTCCTAAAGGTTGGGACCAACCTTGTGTGGTCTGTAAAAGAATGTGAACATCCTGTTGTTGAGAAGCAAACTGCTACAGGGGCAGTTAGCTGATCTGGACAGGAAAGCAGTCTGCATCTGTGCACAGATGAAATCTAACTCATAAACAGACTTTACCATGCATGGCCTTACTTTACGATGTTTGTTGAATAAATGTTTTTTTATTAAAACTTTGGCCTGTAAACGTCTCTGTCCCTGTTTTCCGTCTTTGTCCCTGTTTTCCATCTGAATGAGCTGACATTGTTTCGTGCAGGAACAAAAAAGTTTCACTGCATAACCTGAGTATCCTCCATGTGCAGCTCACCTCTGAGCACAACCAAGTGGCGAGGACATGTCAGAAACTCAACTGAAGAGGAGCATCAACACCCCTCGCTGGTCCGTACAGCACAGCAGTGCCTGGGAGGATGTGGATGCAGGCTACTCTAAAAATAGCAGAGTCCAGCAAGGTCCTCTGCTACCTGGGAATCATCCCTCCAATGAGCTAACATCCCAACAGCTGGGGGAAGTTTGCTCAAGTGATTCACCTAAAAAGTGCAACTGCTTCGTTCTTCAGACATCATGGCTAGACCTTTTGAAACGAAACCTCTGATTTTGGGTTAAAACGTGAAAAAAAGCCATTAAAGTCACTGGTAAAGTAATGCAAACACAGCAGAACGATAATAAGATAGATCGATCTGTTTAAGATCATCACCTCTTTAAAGTGAGATTGTGCAGTTTTACCTTTAACCTCAGCAGATATCCATTAAAATGTTGTTGAATAAAATGATACCCAGTCAGTAAAAAATATTGGTGGCTTTGTAACATAAAAAAATCTAGTCTAAAATAAATAGGGCACAGGTCTAAGTCTCTGGAGGACACAGTATTAGACGCCATGTTCCCTTATGTGAGCCGGCTCGGGGTCCTGCACCTGCAGATGACGTCACACTAGATGACTGGCTGGACGTACGACTTACGGAAGTTACTTAACCACGTTAGAAAACATTTAGATGGTAAGAAACATGAATGTAATAACAGAACTGCTAAACTCTTTCCAAAACCAATGTGAAAGAACAGAATCAAAAAAGTGATGCGCTATATTTTGGCTGAGTGGTATTTGCCATAGGGTGACGGCAGGTAGGTAGGGCAGGTGCAGGACCCCGAGCAGATATTGAACCTACCCCGCCAAAAAACTAACATCAGCATTGCATTCTTTACATAGAATTAACTAAACGATCACCAAAGTCTGTGGAGTCATGCCGAGGTAGCATGATTTCTGCTCGACAGGTAACATTTACAGTAAAGTTTTTAAAAACTAACGATAGTCACAGCCAGATGATGTAAAAACAACCCTGAAATGTATGCATGTACTGCCCTCTAGTGCCAGAAAACTACACACAGTCTCTTTAAATACATTGTTTAAATTAGACATTTCATTCCACAGATTACTCTGTAATTAGTCTGCTCTGCAAAAACAGACCTTGGGCATATAGAACTTTTTTTATTTTCAATTGATCTTTTTTCTTTTAAGCATGCCATTTTCCATTCTCAATTGCCTAAAACAACTACAGCCCCGGTTGCCTCACAGACAGCTGCTGTGTTTACCACTGGACATATTTAATTCAGTGTCCCACTTACTTTCTTTGAATTAAATCCACAGGACAAAACATGCTAGAGGATGACTTTACACTGTTAAATTCCCAAAAAGACATTTGGGAATAAATTATAACGTGAACCTGCACAGACCACATAGAAATCATGGGTGTAGGTGATGAAAGCAGTCCTTTAATATCCCAACAACACAACTAAAGACTTGTGCACAATAGTATTTTGTTCCAATCCAAGTCAAACATCAACTTTTTGGGTTCACTCCTAAGTTGTAGACACTCTGGCCACAAAACGTGTCACTCATTAAACTCTAAAGCTAGGAGGATGCAAACTCAATGCAGCTCCAGTCAGTGGATTTGTGGGCGTCTTAGATGAAATCGTAAAACAGGAAGGGTCAGACAGGGTCGACGCCTAGAAACACAGTGAGTATAGGTTTTTCACATTCAGTAAGCCATGAGAAACAGCTACGGAAGGGCTGATGATGAAAAAGAAACAGGGCAAAGACACAAGAAAGCAGAAAATGAAACCATGAGAGTGACAGACCTGAGGTAAAACTGACAGCAGGTGGAGGTCAGCAATAACCTCTTATGAAAGTGATGCAAACAAGGCTGGGAGAGGAAGAGAAATATGAAATGATCACGAGAGAGAAGAGGTGAAGCACAGGGCTTTGATGAAATTATGCTCATGTTCTCTCTGCTGTCACGGGAAGCAAATATATCACATGAGTGACAATGACTGTTCGAAGCTGATATCACAGCTGACATAATCCAGCATGAGAGCTGGGTCAAATGTCACACCAAGATACCTGACAGAGGGTTTGGTGTGAGGAGCAAGCTGACTTTGGGAACCAGCTTGTCTGGGGCACAGATCTCAGTCTCGTCATCAATCAGCTGTAGGAAGTTCAGGAATGACGCAGACCTTTTGGTACATTAGACACCACACACCCTGCCAGTGTTCAACAATGTACAAGCAGCTTTGAATTCTAAGACACCTTTATCGTATAAATGACTTGTGTTGTAATAAAGCTATTTCAGTCATCAAAATCACTTCTAGTATCAATGCTGGCATGCCTCTGACTTCAGTCCAACTACTCTCTGTAAAACATTACAGATGTCCTGAACTGAAGTAAAATATGTGGTTACAACAACAGAAAATGCCTGAGATCACAGCCTGTTCCAGTAAGTTGAATAAAAGCTGCAGCTATTGTCTTCAGACTCGTTTGAACTTGGGTCTTTTTGTGTTGGAGAGCCACTTAAAGAGCCTCAAAGGGCCCTGGCACACAAACAGGGACCCACACTGCTGTGAAGTGGGAAGAATCAACACTCCACGTTACATAAAAATGGGTTTGCATGAAGACGTGAAGAGCACTGAAGGTGGGTTGATGATGCAGCACAATCCTTTCAATATCAGTGACGTTTAACCACTCAGCAAGTGCACACTAATATCTCTCAGAGCTGAAACTGTGCAAGAAGAAGTGAGAAAACTCTGCATCCAAACTAGTCAGGAAAGAAAAACAGTTTATTTCATCCAGATGACCTAACACTCATGCAGGATGTGATCAAATCCACAGACAGAAGGTGAGCTTACTAATGCTAGTGACTTCTGATGAAGTTCCTCCATCTCCAAGAGTCCTTCCCCATTTCTCCCATCTAGGGAAGACCAAAGCACCCAACTTCCTCTGTTGCAGGAAATGGACAGGAAATGGAGCAAGGGGTGGTGGTTACATATTGTTGGAGGGTCAGGCTGAACAGAAGGAATGGGTCAATGTGTAGATTAAAACCAAAGATGTAGAAACTGAAACAGCATTTCTAATCATCCTGAGCATAAACTAACCATGAATTTAAAAAGGTTGATTTATTCCTCAATATTGCACAATCACACATGATCTGCTAGCAATTGTGAATGTCTCAGCAACAACCACCAGGGCCACAACTACAGATTATTTTTGTTAATCTACTAATTAGTTAGTTTTATTTTTAATTAATTACAAAACAATTCTACCAATCAATGCTTTTCTCCTGCGGGTCCACTTCCTGTTCTGGGCACCACTTGAATTATTTTTCTGGTTATTTGCCCAGCCTTCCAAGTATCACGCTCATAAAGACGAGTGTTGGTGAGTGTTAAGGAGTTCTGCCATGTTGTGATGTTGCTAATGCTAAAGGTTAGCTTCCACTATCAGCGACGTGTTCTGCCGTCTCCTGGACACTCAATAAACAACCTTACCCATCACAAGCCAGTATGAGTGAGTCCATGAATGTTAATTTGACACAACGTGATAATGTCACTACCTCTTCTAACCCGAGTGTTTCCCTCTCTGTTTTCTGTTGGCAGCTAATGCAGGAAACAGGGGTAGAAGACTATTTTCAGCATGCATGCCTGCAGAGTGACCTATCTATTTTCAAAAAGAACAAGTAAAAATATGGTTTCTTAGTGAACTTGGCCTTTAAAAGTCATTAAATCCACTGTGCTGACTAGGGTTGCACGATATTAATGAAAAACATGCGATAACAGTGATTAACATTGTGATGACGATATTACTTGCGATAAATTAAAAACTGAACAAAATAATCAAAAACAAAAAAATCATAAAAATGAGAAAATCAAAAGATGTGAGGAAAGGGAAAAATAAAATGAGCAAGAAAAGGCAATCAGCGGATCCCGGGAAAAGCAGAATCAGCAGAAAGAGCAGAACAAAGCTAACACAGGTGTTTGCTAACCATCAAAATTAAGTGCCGTCTGCCTCGGGTGCAGGCATCTAACCTATGAGAACCCACCCAATTGGCCAAATGTGTGTAGAGCTCTATTTGATTTGTTAAACAAAACATCATGCTACCGTTTGACAGAATGCATTATGTGTAGCAAACATTTGCGATATTTATTTGTTCTTTGCGATATGCATATTGCACATGCTGATATCACGATAATGATTCATTTGCGATATAATAATAATAATAATAATAATAATAATACATTTTATTTCAAAGCGCCTTTCAGGACACCCAAGGTCACTTTACACAAAACACGTAATAAAATACAATAAAACAATAATAAAACCCAAAGAAGAAAAAACAGAGAGAAACATTTCAATAAAATCAGAGGTTGTAGGCAGATTTAAACATGTGTGTTTTGAGTTTTGTTTTGAAAAGGGTAAAACTGTCGACGTT